ACACACACACACACACACACACACACACACACACACACACACACACACACACACACACACACACACACACACACACACACACACACACACACACTCACTTCGGCACTTCCACGCAGCCTGCGGTGTGCCGGCTTAGCAACTTAGCCCCACAATACATGCGCTGCGTCGGCAGCGCTAGCAGTAGTAATGGTCAAACAATCACGTCCCAGTGGGCCGTCCGGGCCACCGCGGTTCAGCAGGCTTCAGACAGATAATGATTCAGGCATGCGATCCAATTAAACCGGGTTGCCCCTCATGTTGGTGAGTTCCACAGCTAGAAAAGCATGCAGATAAAGGTTTCAGTCGCCACCAACAGGTTGGCCGCCTCTGCCCGAAAGTTGGGGGAGTTGGTGCCACTTGTCTGAGTCGTCGCACACCGCCTCTGCGCAGATGGAGGGATCAGGGGGATGCTGCGCCGTCGCGGCCGGGCCCGCATCCGCAGCGGCCGGATTGGCCGCAGCGCTGACAAAGTAGCCCGACAGATGCGCAGGCACGCTCTCAGCTCAATCCTCGGGTTGGCTATCGGCCTGCCTTCCCGTGACCTCGATGCCGCAGACAGCTGCAGCCGCCACAGGCACATCCGCTGCTGCCTTCGCCGCGCTGTGAAGCGGCGGTGCGGCCGCACCGAGGCCGGCGCGCAGCCACCGTCAGAATTTAGCTTATCCTCCGTCTCCGTGCTGAAATGATCTGATGCGCTGCTGCGCTCTGGCTTGCTGCCGGTTGCCGCGCCTGTGCGCTGCGCGCAAGTAGGTTGAGAGCGGCTGGCGCATAGAAGGCTGAGCCAGCTGGGTTTCGTCAAACTTGACGTCCTCGGCGACAAACCGCTGCCTTGCACCGGAGATTGCCAGCCCCGGCCCACCTGGCCCCCCCTTCACAAACATGAACGTAATGGCCGCGCCTTGGGGTTGGAGGCGGACCCGAGTATCGCCGCCGGCAGGTTGGCCCAGGCGCGGCATCCAAACGCGCCGCACGGATTTTGGGGACCGCGCCATAGTAGGCCTGAAACGGCATCGGCAAGCCGTCGCCCGTGCGAAGAGGTTGTGAACGTGGTTGACGTCTACTAGAGCCGGAAGCCGTAGGCGTGGCTCCGGGTGGGCTGTGTCCAGCAGCGCTCCCCGAGTCTAGTTGAACCATGGGTGCTCTGCGGGTGCTCTGCGACGCCGTCGTGCTGAAGACGGTGGGGGACCGCAGTCTGGTGCTTGTTGCCCCGCAAGGCCAGCCGGCCGGCTAGGCGGTTGTTGACATGCTCTGGTGGTCCGACGCAGCGATGCAGCAGCCGCGCCGCCGCGAGGTCATACCCAGACATGACGGTGGTCTTGGTCTCATCACTGTTGCTGCGGGCGCCCGTGGGCTGAGCTGAAAAGGAGGAGAACCAGACACGTGCAGGATCCCGCCGCACGGCCCCAAAACTCCATTGCTGATGGCCCCGTCGCAAGCACAAGTGCCGCCAACGTGCGGACACGGGCCAGATCAGCGAGGGACTGTGCGCCCCCGCGGCGTCACGGCAGTCATTGGGGCCCGCGCCCCCGCGCCGCCCCGCCCTGCAACTCCGCCAGAGGGAGCAGCACGTACAGGTCGCTGTTGCCCCCGTCTTTGGATGCCGTAAAGAGCGGCTTGACCGCGGGGTCGCGCAGCCGTTTTGATGCGTAATAGAAGTCGATGACGTCAGCCCCTGGCTGCTTGCCCCAGACGACGCCGTCGTCCTTGAGTGACTCAGTGGACAGGATGTTGTAGGGCATGGACGGCACGAAGAAGGCGTTGCTCAGGTGCAGCCAGCCCTTGTTGGTGAGCGTGCGCGCCGATCCTGACTGCTTCACGAGGATCGGCCGGGCAGCACCAAACTGCACCCGTCGGTTGCAGGCGTTCAGCTCCTCAAACCAGTCCGCGCTGTTGAGGAAGTGGCCGGCCTGGGCAGCTGTGCTCACCACCACACTGCCCTTGACGAGCCCCTTCACCCGCACCGCGCAGTTGGGCCCGATGCCAACAGCGAGCGCCGGCCCATTGTCCCCGGGCCTGGGGCTTTTGCAGCTGTCGCCACGCCCGCCTCCAGATAGATAGATAG